TAATAGATGTAAAAGGTGATTAGTAAATTGAAGAAAAATTCAAAAGAAAATATTCAAACAATCACAGAGCGGCTAAAAATGGTAGGAAATACTAAACTGAGTGTAACAGGCATGATGAGTAAAATAAACCCATTTGTTAAACATGAAATGAGATTCCAAAAAAAGGGACAGAATGGTATACAGGGAGAGATCAATTAAGACTTCAATGAATTTCTTCTGATGAAAGACATCAGGCCACAAATTCAAGAAGCTCTGAATTTGAGAATAAATATACAGAAAACAATTTCCAACAACCTCATAGTATAATTGAAAATAATAAAGACAAATGAAAAACCTTAAAATCAGCCAAAGATATAAATATATCACCTTCAAAGCAACAGCAAGGCTGAGAGGTGTGAAGAAAGGCAGGACTCAAAAGAATAACAGGATAAAAAAGAAAAATCTACCAAAGAAAAATTGTATACTTACTTTAAATATTCTTTAAAAATTATAGGTGTATATAAATATTTTCAGCCATGCTGAAAATTTTTGTTGGTAAACTTTTGATATAATAAATAACTTCATTATTTTATAATTATAATAAATGAGTTCTTAAGGTTCCATCAATTTAAAATACAAGGGGCTTCAAATGAAAAATCATATACTAGATTCATCTCTATACATTTACTTATTTAAATGAACTAATTAGAAATTTAAAAGTTATTAGATTTAGTAATTCATGATATTTGCCATATCTTCCTAAGTTTTCCAAACAACCTTTGTGCATTAGCTCATTTGTTGGGCACTAGTCCCTCCCCAGGTTGGAAAATAAGTCAGATATTTTCATCTTTATTTTTTGTAAAATGAAGGTCATGCTAAAAGAGACTCGGAGATTTGTCCTTGATGAGACAACAAAATCTAAACTAGAATGCATTCTTCCTATCTACTGTTCATCATCTGAATACTACAAAGTAGAAAATTAATTAATAATATTACATTGCAAAATATATCAAATAAATGGCAAATGAATAATTGTAGTAGTTTCTAAAGAATTTGTATCAAAATTTTTTTATTTTTTCAAAGATCTATTAACATTATATTTACCCTTTGAATAAGATATCATAATATTCTTTAATATTTTTAACAATATTATAACTATTGGTTTTCTCTCTTCAGTTTATATTTGTAGAAGAAGCTAAAATGCCCAAACCTTTCAGGCTAGGTTTTACTGAACAATTTCCATATCAAAGGCTACACAAAAGTTAAAATCATAACGTTTCATGATCCATAAGCTTCCTTAAGCTTAGGAAGGCTATAAGACATCATTATGGAGAGGCCACAAGACAAACCTCTGATTCAGTTCAAGGTGTAATTTTGCTTCAAGGAAAGTGAGAAAATTTCATATGATGGAGTTTCTAAAGTGTGTGTGTTAAATCAACCAACTGGAACAAGCAAAGAAAGGGGCTGTCAAATAGTAGGAACTTACTCCATATACATAATCTTTTCCTGGAAAAGCCATAATACTGGAATTATACCCTCCTTCACAAACCGGGAATATTACTCTCACGTACTCTAGCAATACGCTGTGGCTTTGTTTTTGTTTAATAATGTGATTTCTTCTTCAACTAGGACTTTTCCTAATGAAGAGTCCATATGCAAAAAAATAGCCAAAGTATTTGTAAAATACACTAAAGAACACTGACAAAGTAACCTTTAGTTCCAGGACATTATTTTACTCTATGTCTTTCTTAACAACAATATTGTACTTCTTATCAAATATATTAAATCATATTTGTAAGATGCCTGCATTTTGGGGGCCACTTTCCTCACATATTCTATTGCATATGTGGTTAAAAAAAATCAAAGCACTTTTGACCTTCTTAGTTAAAACATTTCAGAAATAAAATTAAATATTTTAAGTATGAAGTATCATCTATTCCTGTTAATACACTAACAAGTGTATTTACTACATGAAATGGGTAACAAATCTTGTTTTTAGAGGTAGTACCTTTTGCCAACATTTAAGAGCCAAATGCCACCATACTTCTTGCCAGTCATTGCTGGCCGGCTAAGAATTATAAATATATTTTGTAATAGGCATTTTCATGTTGAGTATATCCCAATGCACAAGCACATCACTGGGCTGGTTTGAAAAAGAGGTTTTGGTCTCATGGGATCTGAGGAAAGCACTGGACAGAGCAACAGGTTATCTAAGATCTTGGATGTGAAGCTCCATATGTTTTCTCATAGTCAAGTACAAGAAAAGTTAAAAAGAAAACTTCTGAAGAAACAGAGATTTTTTGTGACAAGAAGTCATGAATTAGATAATGAAATAAATATTATTTCTGAATCACAGAGGAAAATGTTGCTGCTACAGCAGAAGTCCTACAAAAAAATAAGCTCTCCTTGGTCACGTTATTGAACTGTCAACACGGTCTAACATCATCAAACATTTAATTACGCACTTCCCAGGAAAGACAAACATGTACAATGAGCTTTCCCGAAATGAAAACTGAGGTAACCCCGGATATGCTGCTCAGTCCCACTGACCCCCATGACCTCACACAGATTCCACTTTGCTTCTACCACATTTATTACTCCAGCAATGTTTCTACCGTGTCTCCTCTGAAAGGACCTCAAACTTTATCAGAAGAGCAATCACTGACCAAGATACTGCGGTTTGACTCTTAGAAAAGCTGCGTTAGAATCACCAGTCTCTCAAAAAAAAAAAAGCTTTATTAAAAAAAAAAAAAAAAAAAACCAAATGACTCAGAATTGTAACTGTCCTATTGTTGTGACTTTTTTACATTTGATCATTATGTTAGATGCTGGAATATCAAAACAGTGTATGGGGACTCTAATGTTAGGGGATTAATGATTGTAAATTAAATCCATAAATATTAAATGATTATTAAAATTTTAAAGATCTTAGATTGCAGTGGATAAAAGCCTCAGAAAGAAAAGGAAGTAAACCCTAAAGTAGCAAATTCTCACTGTTTCCACCTTTTCCACAAAGTGGCTTTGGGGGAGGTGGATATTAAATGCAAATGCTCCAGTAAATATCGTCACTTCTTTTGATACAAAAATTGGACTCTTCTCCAACAGAAGGGATTCATCGACCGATAGCAAGACAGTAGGTGCAGGAATTGATAAATTGACATCTATACGCGGTACAACTCTTGACTAAGGTGCGTAAACAGGTTCTGAATGTCTCTCAGCCCGCAGAGCTCTACAACCGCAAAGACGCTGATCTCAAACATGCTAGCAAGCAAACCTCTTCCGGACCTGAGTAACAAAAGGAACTGCCAGGAAAACGTGGAGCAGCTGTCTTATATACATACTGAACCTGCCTCTGACTACATCCACCTGCCACAAATAATCTCCGAGATAAACACTTCAGAAACCGGAAAAGGAAAAAAAAAAAAAAGACCCAAAGTTTGCTCTTTACCTCGCACCACTGGGGGTAGAACTTGGGCGTCTCTCTGCCACTTCGCTCTCAGGAGCCCCAGAAGGTAGCTCTACCTGAATAACCCCGACAGACACTCACCCGTGAGCGCAGGACCCTTCTGGCGTCTCAAATCCCAGTCTCAGTCCCACCTGCCCGCAGGAACACAATGGAGCCTCTCCCCGAGCCAGCCGATTGCGTGGAGCCGGGCTCGGACCCCACAGTTGCAGGGAGCCTCGCACAGGTTTGAGCGTATCCGCATTAAACCCAAGACAAAGGCTGCCCGAGTCTTACGAGGTGCGCGCCCTCCTAGATACTCGGCGCTCGCTCCTTTAGCCCACACTGAGGATTCCTGAGCCCGAGAAGTACTGTCGTGGCTTCCGCGTTTTGGGAGGGGCGCGGCTGGGAGACTAGTACTGCGCTGGTGTAAACAGCGCGCTGCGCTCTCGGGATCCACCAGGAGCAGCGTGAGCGCAGGGCTGGCGCCCGGTCTAACAGGGAAGACTACC